TAATCTTGAAACCTGCTAATATACCAAAGTCCTTTAATTTTCCCATTAATGCTTCTACTCCATCTAGTGGGTCTTCTAAAATTAACACCAAATTATCTGTGAATGCCCTTGACTTATAAGTTTCTTTTTTAATCTTAACTCCCATAGTTTTCTGATCTTGTCTTATGTCTCCATTCAATGCCTCAAGAACCAAACTGAACAGAAGTGGCGACAGTGGACATCCTTGTCTTGTCCCTTTTTGAATCTCACAAGGTTTTGTTAGTTCTCCAGTAACAATTATTTGGGCTTTCTGAGAAGTATGAATCGGCCCTACCCATTTAATAAAATGATCTCCCAGGTTCATGTGTCCCAGAACTCTAAACAAAAAAATCCAGTTCAAATTGTCAAAGGCCTTCTTGGGATCTAAGAATATCAGCGCAGCTTGTTTTTCATTACCTTGCTCCAAGTATTCCAGAATATTCAAAACACTTCTAATATTATCTCGTAGTTGTCTTTTAGGCAAAAACCCACACTGATCTTCATGAATAAAATCCTGTAAAATTACCTTCAACCTTTCACCCGAAATCATGGTAAACAGTTTGTAGTTGTTATTCAATAAAGATACTGGTCAATAGTTTCTTGTTAAAGTCAAACCTTGTCCTCCTTTAGGTATTAATGTTATATTAGCCTCCTTCCAACTATCAAGGATCTTTCCATTCTGCAAAATAATATTCATTTGTTGTAAAGGTTGTAAAAGCTCATCTTCAAAACATTTATAGTAAGAGACCAGCAACCCACCTGGACCAGGTACTTTTCTTGTTTTAGTCTTTTTGATAGCTTCACACAGCTCCCTTATTGTTATTGGTCCATTCAAAATTTGTCTCTGACTGTAATCTTTGGTAAACTCTGTTTGTGCAAGTATTCATCGAGTTTTTCTGAGGAGATTTCTTGATGTTTGTATAAAGTAGTATAATACCGATGAAACACTTTTCGCATATTCAGATTATCCGTTATTACAGTGTTCCCTTCTTGTAACTTTCATACCACCTTCTTTTCTTTCTCTTTTTGCAACTTGTATGCGGACCATCTCGCCGGTTTGCTTGCAAATTCAAAATGTCTTTGTTTTGCATAGTTCATTTTTATTTCCATCTCTCTCTGTTAACATGGATAATTGCCTCTGTAAAAGCTTAATTTGGTGAGTTTGAAAAGTTATCATCCCTGGAGATTTTAAAAATTCTTCTTCCTTTTTCTTAATCTCATCTAAAATCATTTGCATTTTCTCTTGCCTTTTCTTTTTAAATTCATTACTATGTTATATAAAATATCCTTTTACAAAAGCTTTACTTGCACCCCAAACCATCCTTATTTCTGTATCTTTATTAAAATTATTCTCAAAAAATTCCTTTAACTTTTTACAATCCTCCACCACCATTTCTTTTTGTAATAACATCTCATTCAATCTCCACCTAAAAGATCAGTTTTTCCTTTTAAAAGTTAAAGCCACTGGATTATGATCTGAAATATCTCCGTTTGTCCTTTGGAACATTTCTTAATTTTGCAAAATGTGTATTGATCCTATAGACTTTATTAATCTCTATCAGTATCATCTTCCTCCCAATCCAAGAAATCAGAGAGAGACTTGACAATCTTTTCTCTGGTACCCTCTCCATTGGAATTGCTCTTCTCGAGTTGCTCTAAATCTTAAGCAAAAATTTTTTTCTCTCAGTTCCAAGAATGCAAAATTGTTGAAATCCTTCTCTATCTGTTTATAACTTCTTTCTTTCCAAAACTTTCACTTCGTCAGTAATTTGTTTTAAATTTACAGACAGTTGCCCTACAGATTCTTCAGTTTTCTTAACTTCTTTCAGATCTTTTTTCATCCCTGCAAATCTTTCTTCCATTTATTTATTTATTTATTTATTTGGCTTGTCCCCGCCCATCTCCCCACAACGGGGGACTCTGGGCGGCTAACAACAAACTAAAATCAGAATACATAATTAAAAGATGTAAAAACCAAACTTACAAAGATAAAAAGGCTAAAAAGTCCAAGAGGCCGGTAGAGGCCACACTAGGCCGCTAAGGGGCCAGCCAACCCCATTTCTGATATCCTCCCTCCCCGCCCAGGCCAGATGGCAGAGCTAGGTCTTCAAGTCCCTCCGAAAGGCCTTTCCTTTTTAACTGTTGCAGTCGCCTCTTTGCCAAATTTGTCAAACATTTTCTGCAATAAATTTGATGAAATGCCCTTATCTGTAATTTGTTCTAACGAAACCCTGCGTCCTTCCCCCAATTTGGCAGCTTTCCTTATGGTTGCCATGGTGAGAAAGTGAAAGTATGTCAATTACTACAGTAAAGGTAAAAGGCAAGCTTCTTTTTTTTCCTGTTTTGCTTCTCTTTGTCTTTAATACTTTAGTTCCAATTGGCTCTCCGTAGTCATACAGTTTGGCTCGTATTACTCTTATCTTCTTGTTTTGTAAAATCCACCAATTATTACTATCCTAAAAAAATAAACAATCAGCATTCCCACGAAGGTCCAGTCTGTTAGTTTAATTAATTTTACTATTTTCAAAGGCACTTTCTTCAGAAAAAAGTTATTTCTTCTATTTTTTAAAATCACTGTCCCCCTTGTCTGTTTGAAACTTTCCTACATTACAATCTTGTTAAGCTTTTTACTTTTAAATTAAAATCCTTTAAGACAGCGGGGGGGGGGTTTTCTTTTCTTAATTTCAAAAAGAAGGCACTCACTGAGAGTTTTTGATCTTTGCTGCTGTTCGGAATATCTCTCTTAGGTTGTAAAGCAATTAAATT